AAAGTCTGAAATGTGCCACTACAGGTCTTCTTTAATCCTTCCCCTTTTTCATCCTCCCTGTATATTCCTAACAGCTGAATTATTTTCTTTTTATTGTTTGTTTTCTTTTTTCAGCAATGCGGCCACTTAGCATGTCTTACAGTTTTGACTTGTCAGGTAAAAAAAAAAAAAGAAAAAAAGCACTTTCACACCTGACATGGGTTTTGTGGTCTGTGTGAAATACATTTCATTCATCTGCTTGTTCAAACATGTCAAAAAAGAAAATTGAAAGGCTTCTTCTAAGCTGTGGTCAGCAAAATAAAATTCTTATTTGAAAACAGTATACTTTAAAAAATTAAAACTACAATAAATCTGTTGCCTACCCAGGGATTGTGGAAGAACCATTATGCCATACCTATGGTTATGGAATATGGGTGCCCATCCTTATGGTTGCCGTCACTCACCCACACTTTTCTAGAGCAATGATGTAAAAGTCTAAAACAGAACTTTGCCTTAAGAGAATAGAAAAAACTTTCAAGAAACAAAGTTTTGACACTTCTTATTCTCTAAGCATTCAATTATTCAAGTAGCTAAACTCAAAACTGTCAGCTACTTCAGAGGACCACAGCTGTCAGTTGTAGCTGACACCTCAGTTGATGGGCAACAGCTGTCTTTTGTATCGGTGCTTCCTGAAGATAGATCCTAGTCATGAATGAGTATGAGTGCTGATTAAGAATATAAATACAGAAGAGCATTGTAATGGCTTTGGTTGTAAAATATAATTCTGTGTCCCAGGTTTGTAGTAAAACTTTAGACCTCTTCTGTTAAATAGGATTAATAGTGAAACAAGTTAACTATTAATGACCAAATTTGATCTGTAAAATCAGCCCCCTTTCTAAATTGGGTTTTTAAACCAAGTATGAGTGAATGTTCAAACCCAACTAAACCCAATAAAATATTTTGCAAGTTAGAATTTCTAATTTTGGAAGCTGCTATTTTGAACATAAAATGAAATAAGATGTTGGCACTAATATTTTCTTCCAGAATTTTCTTTTATATGCCTTGGAATGCCTCTTAAGATACAAAGAATTGTTGGCTTACCTTACATACAAATTCATTTTTAAAGAGCAAGAGAGTTCTAGTATCATAGTCTGTCTCTAAATATTTATTATCTTCCCATTGCTAAACTGTTTCCCAACTGGTTTTTAAATTTCTATTTATTTTTGTAGATCTCAGGCATGACTAATATTTGTGCTTTCAAGAAACTCGGGTAAATATTTTACAGTCTTCACTTACTACTTTTTACTGACCACTGAAGAGCTTTTTCTATTTTCTTTATCCATTTGGTGATTTTTATTTTATCAACCATTTTCAGAGTAACTTTGTAAAAAAAACTTGGTCTGGAAAATAAACTCAGAAATGTTTTGGAACATGTACGTTACTGCTAATCTCCAAAAGTTGGCAGTATGTATTACAGACACTCTTATCTCTTCTAAATATCTACTAAAGATTTTTCCATCAGTTGGACTGCACTAGAGTGGATGGCTACCTAAAGACGTTGACTATTGGCTAACATAAATTAGGCACAGGTGGCTGATCTAGATGGTATGCATGCCCACACATACATTATACATTAGGTGTATTTTGTGTTCTTATAAGGTTATATGATGGGTTCTGTGTTGGGAAGAAAGCTCTTGGTACTTAACCTCCTTGATGTAAAAGAGTAACAGAATTTTTATTTGCTTTCGCTGCTTATCATTTGCTATAATTTATTTCGTACCTTAGTGTACTTTATGATTTCCACATGCTTCATTCTCATGCTACTTATATGTTTTTTCATTGTTGCATTTTGACTAATAAATTAAAATGTCCTAAATTATAAATGGAAAGATTGATCCATTCTTCTAACCTAAATGCAAAGATTGGAATGCATTTCCTAAGTTAGAAAATTAACGAACTAAGGCATAAACATTTAAACATGTGTAGGTAATGCCTCTGAACTTGTGTAGAATAAGACATAATGAAGTATGTTCTGCTGCTTAGTTATGTCTTAGAAATATTAATGCTTAGTGGAAGATCTTAATGCATTCAACATTAATTAAGGTAAGTATAATTTATTTTTCCAGTGCAAGTATTAAATATAATATATATTTATATATCTATATAAATCTATATCCCAGAATCTATATCCCAGTCATATTTTCTCCAACTAAGTAAGGGAGCAATGAGGTGTATCTAACACATAAAGTTATTACATAAAGTTTTTACTATCATGGTTATGCATTTTAGATTCTGAACCTGAGGCATGTGACTTCCAAAGCCATATCTAACATCTTAAATATTTTGCTTACTTATAAATGCCACTGGTTTTTTCCTCAAGAAATGATGCCTTATATAGAAATAAAAAGTCTTATCCAAGTATTTGGTTTTCTCACTTGAAACATTGAAGTAATAATGAAGTAATAATGTTCATTTGAACAGAAAATATAAGTAATCAAACTACTTAAAAATATCTCTTAAAAATACGTTCAGGGGCCGACCCAGTGGCGTAGCGGTTAAGTTCTTGTGCTCCACTTCGGAGGCCCAGGTTCGCAGGTTCGGATCCTGGGCGCGGACCAACGCTCCACTCACCAAGCCATGCTGTGGCAGCATCCCATTTAAAGCAGAGGAAGATGCGCACGGATGTTAGCCCAGGGCCAATCTTCCTCAGCAAAAAGAGGAGGATTGGCAACGGATGTTAGCTCAGGGCTAATCTTCCTCAAAAAAAAAAATGTTCAATTGGATCTTTTACAAATGTGTATATGAGATAAAATCACACACAGTATTTAGTCTTGTGTGTGGAGATCATCCTGAAACCTGACTGTTACATATTTTTTTAATTAATTCTATTTATCTCAAAGCTTTGAATTTAGAACAAGGAGTTTATTTCAGTAGTTTTAGTCAGTGAACTCAAATATAGTTATCAATCTCATAGCACAGTGGTTAGACAATAAGAGAGCTATTGGGCAATTTCTCAAGTCCTCTGCAATGAGAATGAAGTACACTGGCAGCCACTGTCATTTAACAGTGTTCCCTAAACTTCAGATACCACCCTCATGATTTCTATCAGACTCAAGTGCCACCAGTACTATTTAAATTTTTTTAATCTACCATAAATGACTTTTTAAAATTTCTTAAGCAAAAACATCCATAAAATCATGTATCTGTTATAGTAGTTATGTATTTTTTCTGAAACATTAAAATAAATATATAACTATTAAAACTGTTTCAGTGTTCCTCCATGCACTATTAGTGGTTTCATCCTTAGGGAAACTCTGACTTGGTAGAGTGTGAGACCCGCCTCAGGAAGCTGATTGTGGTGTTCTTCTCGCTCTACCTCCAATTTGGGAGTGGGCTGCTATTGGGGAGATGGTGGGAGCCTCAACTGGAATGTGGATAGCTAAGAGGGGTTAAAGATGTGTGCATTTTAACTTTGTGCTTTCTCTTCAAAGACTATTACAACAATGTGAACAATTCTATAGGAAGTGTATACAGTAAGATACACTATAGAATGAGATTTTTTAAAATATACTTCAAGACCATATTTAAACACTTATTATCTTTTTTCTTGAATGGGAATTAATCAGTTAGCCCAATCACTTCCTCATTTTCTTTCTGGAAAACTTTGTTTTTTTTTTTTTTTTGGTGAGGAGATCAGCCCTGTGCTAACATCTGCCAATCATCCTCTTTTTGCTGAGGAAGACTGGCCCTGGGCTAACATCTGTGCCTATCTTCCTCCACTTTATATGGGACACTGCCACAGCATGGCTTGACAAGTGGTGCATCGGTGCACGCCCGAGATCCGAACCCCGGGCCGCCGTAGCGGAGCGTGCGCACTTAACCGCTATGCCACAGGGCCAGCCCTGTACTCTATACTCTTATTCTGTACTGTGTACTCTATACACTGTTCTATACTCTATGCTCTTTACTCTCTGCTCTGTACTATATATTCTGTGCTCTGTACTCTATACTGTATACTATATACTCTGTCCTCTATACTCTATATTATATACTCTGTACTATATACTCTATATTCTATAGTCTGTACTCTGTATACTTCATGCTCTGAACTCTGTACTCTATACTTTGTCCTGTGTGCTGTGTTCTGTACTCTGTGCTCTGTCCTCTGCTCTGTACTGCCGCATTTCTTTCATTTGTTGTATTGCCTTTCCATCCAGATTTGAACTCTGAATAATAAAAATTAGTTTTATCAGAGGGAATGTATCCCAGATTCTTTGTGTTCATGTTAAATATGTTTTTATGAGTATACATTATTAGCTTTTTTGATTTTTAAATCAAACCATTTTCAAATCTTACAGCCATACGCCTAATAGGCTTTGTGCATACCATCACTTTGATCCATCTAGCACTAGCTCTGTAGAGGCTGTAAAGTAAAACTAGCCTCTCTGGGCCTCTAGAAAATAAAGAAGTTGGAGTCAGTTATCTGTAGGATTTCTTCCAGCTTTAAATTCTAATCTTATAAATGTGAATATACAGTTATTCATTTAAAGGCTTTCTTTAATTGAATCTGACAGTTAATGTCTAACAAAAATGTTTTATAGGGGCTGGCTCCGTGGCACAAGTGGTTAAGTGCATGTGCTCTGCTGCGGCAGCCTGGGGTTCGCCAGTTCGGATTCCGGGCGTGCACCAATGCATTGCTTGTTATGCCGTGCTGTGGCAGCGTCCCATATAAAGTAGAGGAAGATGGGCACGGATGTTAGCCCAGAGCCAGTCTTCCTCAGCAAAAAAGAGGAGGCTTGGCATCGGATGTTAGCTCAGGGCTGGTCTTCCTCACAAAAAAAAAAAATGTTTTATATACATAGGCATTGTTGTATCAAGCCTCGGTGTTGTATTTGCATGACATGGAAATGCCATGTCACCTGGAGTGTCTTCCAAGTGCAAGTACTTAGAAAAGTGCTTTTGGTCCACTAATTACCTTTCTTGGCTCAAGAAAAGGTAAGCTTTCGCCTTTCTTTTGCCAGATGTAACTACCCCTGAGTCTCCAAAGAACGTCGTGGAATCATCCATGGTGAATGGAGGTTTAACGTCACAAACAAAAGAAAATGGATTAAGTGTCACACAGCAGGTACCTGTACAGCGGAAGAAGCTCCTCAAAGCTCCAACTCTGGCCGAACTAGACAGCTCTGACTCTGAGGTGAGGTCCCACTTCACAAATCTTGACTCCAAGTTCAGGATGCTAATGGTCTTTGACCTAGTTTATTATTCATGTTGTTTCAATTATTGCTTAGCCTCTTTCCATTTTTCAGTCAATAAAGTTAGGATTAAAATTTATTCGTTTAGGGCCGGCCCCGTGGCTTAGTGGTTAAGTGCGCGCGCTCCGCTACTGGCGGCCCAGGTTCGGATCCCGGGCGCACACCGACGCACCGCTTCTCTGGCCATGCTGAGGCCACGTCCCACATACAGCAACTAGAAGGATGTGCAACTGTGACATGCAACTGTCTACTGGGGCTT